CCCCCCTCCTACTATACCTAAATAACTGCATATATATTATGAAGTATGATAATTTTTATTTAAAAACTACATGAAACATTCTGCAAAATAAGAAGTGATCAAAAGTTTTATTCTAACGAATCATCATAAAATTAATATTTGAATGAGTAGTGTTAAAAAAAGTTAAGTTATATATTTGAATGGTGGCTATTGAGTACATTTTTTTTGTAATATGAACCCCCCCGCCCGAACAAAAGGTGCTTTAATTTCTGTACTCTAAAAGAGGTTGGAACTTTTTAAGATAATGAATTTTTTTTAGACATAAAAAAAAGTGAAAATTTAATTGGAAGGGAGGAAGGAAGTTCTCCGTACGTACATTTTAAGTTTTTTTTCATTTACTGGGAGAAAGCCAAAATAAATTATTGGGAGCAATTTTGGGAGTGCCCGTGATTCATTGAATAATAATACCTCTAAATGAGAAGCAGACAAATATTGTACTGCAAAAGATTCACTGTGTTTGTTGTCCACCTTTTTACTTGCCAATTCTACCCTTCATCGACATGTACTTATTTTTTTTAACATTCGAATAATACCCTTTTTTCACAATTTTATTTTCAAGATTTCATTTTTAGGACTACTGAAAAAAATTTTAATAACAAAATGGACATTGTACGATCATTAAATGTGCATGCATCGATTTCATAGCGTGATCCCACAAAACATTTCAACTTTCTCATCTTATTTGTCTCATAAATATTCTAAAATTGACTACAATACCCCTATTTAACTCAACTTTCTCACATCACATCCATCACATCTCCTATTACTTTCTATTTTTTAATTACTCTTTCACACTATTAATCGCTATTAACGATTTGAAATGTCTCTTTTTTTAAAAAAACTAAAGGTAAAATTGGAAAGCGTATGAATAATCTATTTTACTCTAGCATGTATTTAAATTTACAAATAAACAAGACATGACGGGCCATTATGATGGGCTTTCAGGCACCAAATGGAATGGGGGCTGTTCTTGGGCTGGCCCAGTTGATCCTGTATGCCATGTTCTACAAGTCTACAAAGAGGATAATTGCAGCTCGAGAGGCCAAAGGAGAAGTTGGGCTGACCCAAAAGGGAGCATCTGCAGACACCACCACCAAAGCAATCCCATAATGAGCCTTTGAAGTGTTCGGCCCAAATGTTTACTTATTTCTATTTTCATTTCGCCGCCGTTGTGGTAGTTAAGAACTAAGGCATTAAAACTTTTTAAAATGAAATGAAAAATTGTAGGCAGGTAAGGAACTGTCTATTCCTTTCTCTCATTTTATCTATAAAAAAAAATAGACATGGTATGATGTCCCTTACCATGCCTACTAAACAGGTTTGGGTACCTCAATAAACAAACTTGAAGATGTTCCATGCTGGAAAAATCTACAACAAAAATGTCACTAGATAACAAGAAAGTCAAAAGTCACAAAAGACATACTTGTCGAGAGTACACGTGTCATAGTGGAATGAGAGAGCACACAAGTCATGGTGGAATGAAGATGTTCAAAAAGCTGGGAAGAACAAATTAGAGTTCTACACAAAATTTAAAAAAGAATTCAGAAATGTGGAGGGTTGAGTACTCCGTATTTGATTGCAAGAAAATATAGAGAGCCGGTACACTAAAATGAGGTACTTAAATAGCACAAAAAATACTCCCTCTGTCTCATATTTTTCTTTTCATTTGACTTTTCACGGTATATCTAACGCGACACCTAGATCATTAATATCTATATTTATATGTAAATATAGATTACAAGAATACGGAGTATAATACTTCAAAACTACGTTTCAAAATAAATCCATTGATATTAAATTTATGTCTCAATTCAATATATTTTTCTGTGATTTGCATCAAAGTTTAAAACGTTGACTACAAAAGTCAATGAGAAGAGAGAATTGGGTCGGAGGGAGTAGCATATTCATCCAAAATAAGATCCCATTGGAATTGACATTTTTACTACGAAAGATGAAGAAACTTGTACAGAAAAAAGAAAGAAAATTTATGTGAATCACACATTCTGTAATTAATAGAAAAGTGCAACCTTATTTGGAACCAGAATAAAAACGCAAAACTTTTTTGTGGGAGAGGCACCGAGGTGACATGGTGGGAAGAGACACTAACGTTAACAACGACAGCAACCTAGTCCA